ATGTTACTATTCTTCACCATTTTTATTTAAAAGAAATCAACCAATCCACACCACGAGAGATAGAGTAATTGCCTATTCAAAATCCTACTGGGGTTGGAGACTGTCTTGGGATAATGTTCCACTTGCCATAAATTAGAATATAAATACTCATTCATTGTAAGACATGTTTCTAAAAGCTGGAGAAAAATCTTGTCAGCCTCTTGTGCAAAAGAAGTTCTACAATTCAATGTTCTAGATGGTACTAAGGTAGGTAATTCATTCCCTAAAGTATTAATAAAATATCTGCTGTGAACATTGCAAAGATAATGGATTTCCCATAGACAAAATGTACATTTGCTAACTCTGTAGGTNTGTAAAAGGTACTATAATAAGTTTCTTGATTTCAAGAATTATTATAGCTAAATATAACAAACAAATTTAGGAATAGAGAAGTTCAATGACTTCTAGTGTCAGAACTGAGATTCAACTAAAGTTTGCCTAATTCCAAATCCTGTGTGCTTAATCAATACATAACATAATGCTATTTGTAGAGGAGAGAGAATAGATTGAATGTATAGCTCTAATATTTCTGTCATATCTTCATCAAACACATTAACAAATATAAAATTCACTAATGGACACCTTTTAGAAAAACAAGGTTTATAGATGAAATTTCCCTGAAATCCAGTGGGGTCCAACTTATTTTAGGAGACTTTTTCTGATCTAAGTTCAGAGCAGTGTGGTATGAATTCACTGAGAAAAGTGACCTTGTCCTGGATGCTTAGTGGATTATTCAACAATTGACTACAGAAAACTTCCAAACAGTGTTGTAGGCATCATAGAATGCAAAGAAGAAAAATATGACTTTGACCTCATAATCTGTTTATAGCTATAAGGTATAAAGTCATTAAAATAATGAATGAAAATGTCACTTGTCGGATGATCTTGTGAATGTGATTTAGCACCCCATCTGAAAAATAAGAAAAGTGTGGGAACAACAACAGATATAAACAAAAGGGATTCCATTTGCTTTTAATAAATTTTACTTAGTAAATGCACATATAGTGTTTTTTATGTCTAGTCGCACAGATGAATTACAAACGTCTAATTATTAGGAATATCTACTTATCAGAGAATGGTTAAATAACTTTACCCAGGTCACACAAACAGTAAGTAGTAAAGCCAAGTTTTAAATCCAATTATCTCTTGCATAACTTCCATGATCTTAACTATTACATTAAACTGCATTCCAAGATCATTACTATTCTTCTGTGGAATTATCGATTTTAAAAGTGGACCTCTTTCAAATTTTTTCTCAACTCTCCTTTACACAGAAGAATGTGATTTTATGATTATAAAAATAGGGCTTTTCCTATAAAAATTTTGCCAATTCTCATTATTATGCCAGGTCTCATTACATGAGTCATATTTATCTCCTCTCAGCTTAAAATGAGTTAATATCATGATGTAAAGTGCACAGCTTTTAAAGAGTTACTACATCAAATAACACCACCTTCTGAATGGCATTGTCTGGCATCAATGATGATTTCTAATTTTCTCCTTTTAAAAATGAAAAAAACAAAATACTGTCAGAGAAATTGCCATATCTGTGATTACATTAACCTTCTATTTGCTTCTGTAGAAGGAAGAATAAAGGTATTGGTTCATCCATCAGCAAACTCAACTCATGTCTTCTAATACCATCTATCTCCGATTAGAAAAAAAAGAAAACTAAGAAGATGTTGGAGACTAATTATACCATGCCAACTGAGTTCATATTTATTGGATTCACAGATTATCAGCCTTTCAGAGTCACACTATTCTTGTTCTTTCTCATAATATATACCTTAACAGCAGTGGGAAATATTGGCTTAATAATCCTAGTTAATATGAATTCAAGCCTTCAAACCCCCATGTACTATTTGCTTGGCAACTTGTCTTTCTTAGACGTCANATCAAATAACACCACCTTCTGAATGGCATTGTCTGGCATCAATGATGATTTCTAATTTTCTCCTTTTAAAAATGAAAAAAACAAAATACTGTCAGAGAAATTGCCATATATGTGATTATATTAACCTTCTATTTGCTTCTGTAGAGGGAAGAATAAAGGTATTTTTGGTTCATCCATCAGCAAACTCAATTCATGTCTTCTAATACCATCTATCTCTGATGAGAAAAAAAAGAAAACTAAGAAGATGTTGGAGACTAATTATACCGTGCCAACTGAGTTCATATTTGTTGGATTCACAGATTATCAGCCTTTCAGAGTCACACTATTCTTGGTCTTTCTCATAATATATATCTTAACAGCAGTGGGAAATATTGGCTTAATAATCATAGTTAATATGAATTCAAGCCTTCAAACCCCCATGTACTATTTGCTTGGCAACTTGTCTTTCTTAGATGTCAGCTATTCTACAGCAATTACTCCTCAAATGCTGGTAAATTTCTTAGCGTCCAGGAAGAGCATCTCCTTCTATGGCTGTGTACTGCAAGTGTTTTTCTTTGCTTGTTTTGCTGATTCAGAGTGCCTTATCCTGACAGCAATGGCATATGACCGCTATGCAGCCATCTGTAAACCATTGCTCTACTCCACACTGATGTCTAGGAGAGTATGTAACTGGTTCATTGTGTTGGCATACTTAGGGGGAACCATGACCTCAATGGTCCACGTGTGCTTCACATTCAGGCTGCCCTTTTGTGGCTCCAATATTGTCAACCATTTTTTCTGTGACATCCCACGTGCAGATACCCA